TCTTGGCCATTTCCTGTGGCGGTGGGGGGTGCGGGTGCCCAAAGCCCAGGGATTTGCCAGGATCAGAGAAGTGCAGACTGCAATTTGTCTGGGATCAGGGGGGGACACCTGGCACCCCTCACTGCCCAGCCAAACCTCCTTCCCTCTCCCAGCCCTGCCTGGGAGAAGTCGCTGGACTGAACCAGCCCTTGACAGGTCCTGGGCTCGGGGCAGGACTTCAAGTGCTGCTGGGGGTGTGCTGGAAGGGGGTGGCTCAGAGGCATTTGGGATTGTAGCAGCAAGAGGTGCAGGCTGATAGAAGCTCCTGGAAAGAGCAGTGGTTGGGCCAGGACCAGTGAGGCGATTAGGTGTCAGAGTTCAAATGGCTCCCCACCCCTCACCCTTGGACTTGCCCTGGAAGCCACATACACTCCCTCCTCCAGTGCCCTCTCTGGGGCTCAAGCCCTGCCCTCTCCAAGCCCATCTCCTGGGGCCTTGGCCCCTCGTCCTGGGAGGCCCTTTCCCCCTCCTCTGGTGGTCTGGGACCCCTTCCCTCAGCCCTTTCAGACCCACCCTCCGGGTGTTAGCTGCCAGCTCCAGCCTGTCTGTCTGAGTCAATCACTCCTGCCGCCCCCGTCCCCCTCACCTGAGCTGGGAGGAGGGTGGACCGGAGGAGGGATGAGGGGGGCGATAAATATGTATGACGAGCGGGTGGCAGCAGCATTAATAACCCGGGATCACAGCGCTGCAGGGATGGGGACCAGGCGGTGGAGAGTCTAGCCCAGCAGCTTGACCCTGCCGTTCCTGTTCCCCGTGGGCATATGGTGTGTACACCTGGGTCTGTGCAAACAGGGGCTATCCATGCTGCCAGGCCTCTTTACCCACCCAAAGCTCCGCCTGCAGGCCTGTGTGGGACCCGCCAGGGACCACTCATTACAACATATGCACCCTCCAGGGGGGACACAGTGAGACCACACTTGTTCTGTCATTGTTCTGGATACACTGACACACACCCTTTAGAAAGAGCTTGACACATGGACAGAGGATGATAGGAGCACCCACAAGAAAAGTGACACCTCCAGAGCACCACACACAGCTACCCTCAGACAGACAGTCAACCCAGGCGTACCACTACACCGGTCACACAGACACAACTACCACAAACTGATACACAGCCTCACTCAGATCACCACACAGACACACACACACAGCCAACCCAGGCACACATACATAGCCACCACACTGACACAACAGACATTCAGCCACTACAAGCAGGCAGACACATACACACAGGCTCCTCAGACTTATATACATGGGCATACAGACACACACACACAACCACCACGCACAGCCACCCCAAGCAGACATGCACACTCATCACCTAGGTGGAGACACACACGTGCACACACACAGCAATCACTCCGGGTAGACAGACACACACATACAACCATCCTAGGCTAACAGAAACACAACCACCCCAGACTGACACACACAGTACTCCCTCCCCCCAGCTGGAACCCACAGCAGTAAGGGCCATGCTAAACGGCCACAGCCAGCACAGACTGACTGACACACTCTGACACGAACGCCTCCTCTCCCCTGCCTCCCGCGCCCCTCGCTGGAGCGGCATCTCCATATTTCTTCCTCTCGCTCTCGCGTCTCCTTCACTCCCAGCCGCCCCCCACCCCACCCCCAGCCCCGGATAATTGATGGCCCGGGCCTGGCCCGGCCGCTCCCGCCTCTCGATCCATCTTGTACTCGCGCCCCGCGCTGTCTTCCAGATCAGCGGCCACCTGAGACACACGGACGGGTGGGGGCGGGCTGGGGCGGTGCTCCGGCTCCCCCGAGTTCAGGGAAGGACCACCAGGGGGCCTCCCCCACAGCAGGAGAGCTGGAGATGGAGAGGGGTGCCCGCATAGCCCCCAGCCTCAACCCCCCCAGCGCCCAGACTCTCCACTGCTCTCCTCAGCTCCTCGGTTTCCCGTGCCCCTCCCCGCAAGGGAGTAGAGGTCGAGGCCTGGGCCGGGGGGCTCTAGGCTCGGCAGAGGTGTGGGAGGTCTTCACTTCTTTCTGGATGCTGGGTGTTGACACTGATCATGGCCTCGCTTGCCTGAGTCCAGCTCCTCCTTGGCCAGTTACTTCGAACCAACCAGGCTCCAGGCCAGGGGAGACAGGGCTGGTCCACAGCTCCACTCCCTACCTAGACCACACTGGCTTTGGCTTTTTTGGCTTTCTCGGCCCTCATCGGAGTTCTGTGAGAACACAAGGATTCTCAGTGTCATTTCACAGATGGAGAAACTGAGGCCAAGAGCACACAGCTTGAAAGGGCTGCAGGTCTCCTCCAGAACCACCCGCAGCGGCCTGCCCCATTCCATTTTGTCCCCCAGCGGCTGTGGAAAGGGGCTGGCGTGGGTAGGGCCCTGGCGGGGTGGCCAGGGACAACCCCAGCGTCTCTCTTTCCTCCTCTTTCTTCGTCCACAGGCTGTGAGTTCCCAGATCTCAGAGTCCGGGAGGCCGCAGTACCTGGAGCTGCGCCCCGGCGCGGCCGGAGGGGGCGCTGCTGGCCCACAGGTCCGGGCGCCCAGGTCTTCCGACGGCCTGGGCTCCGCGGGCGCCTGGAGCTGGGCCTGGCCGGCTAACCACACCGGGGCCCTTGCCCGGGCGGGGGCGGCGGGGGCGCTGCCGGCGCAGCGCACCAAGAGGAAGCCGTCCATCAAAGCGGCCCGCGCCAAAAAGATCTTCGGCTGGGGGGACTTCTACTTCCGGGTGCACACCCTCAAGTTCTCCCTGCTGGTGACCGGCAAGATCGTGGACCACGTGAACGGGACCTTCAGCGTGTACTTCCGCCACAACTCGTCCAGCCTGGGCAATCTCAGCGTCAGTATCGTGCCGCCCTCCAAGCGGGTCGAGTTTGGGGGCGTCTGGCTGCCAGGGCCCGTCCCCCACTCTCTGCAATCTACACTGGCCCTGGAGGGAGTGCTCCCCGGGCTGGGGATCGCGGCCGCGGGGCCGGGGCTAGGGGGCACCCTCGGGGGCGCGCTGGCGGGCCCTCTCGGGGGCGCGCTGGGGGTGCCTGGGGCCAAAGAGTCCCGCGCTTTCAATTGCCACGTGGAGTACGAGAAGACGAACCGCGCGCGCAAGCACCGCCCGTGCCTGTACGACCCGTCGCAAGTGTGCTTCACCGAGCACACGCAGAGCCAGGCCGCCTGGCTGTGTGCCAAGCCCTTCAAAGTCATCTGCATCTTCGTCTCCTTCCTCAGCTTTGACTACAAACTGGTGCAGAAGGTGTGCCCAGACTATAACTTCCAGAGCGAGCACCCCTACTTTGGATAGCGCGCCCCACCCTCGCCCCGGCCCTGAGAGCCCCGCCCAATCTCGGCCTCCCTGAGTGGGACCCCTCCCCGCGCCCCGCAGCTTCTGTGGCCGCGTCCACCCTTTCCACTCCGGGGGCGGAAGGGAACAGCCCTCCCGGGGACCGTCTGCCGGCGCGGGTCCCCTTTTCCTTACAGGGAGGAAGGAAGGGGTAGCCCCTTCCCGCTACACCCCGAAGAGGAGGGGCAAGAGCGCCGCCCTAGAGTAGGCGGGGCGTGGAGGGGGTCCCAGCGTCCCCTACGCCCACATTGGGTCCCCTATACGCCCCTGGCGCTGGGCTGGACACTCCTGCCCGAAGCTTAAATGACACCCGGCCTGGCACCCCCCTCCCGCCCTGACTGTCTAACCCTCGGGCGCGCGTCCTCCTGCTCCACCCTGTCCCCACGTAGACCGCGGCCCAACCCCATCCCATTCTGCCTGCCGTGCGCCTGCCCCCCTTCCCCGAAACCCCGATTAGGGTAGGGGAAGCAGAACTCCTGGGCATAGGCCGTCGACTCTCGCCGCTGCCCTCTGCCGCCTCCCGCCCGTCTCTGCGGTCCTGCTCCACCTGCCCATTTCCGGCTGCTTCCTCTGGTGATATTTTTTCTACGCCAAAACAGACGGGAAAGGGAACAAAATAAAGTGAAATCCAATACGCGTCTGTGTGAGACCTTTGTAGGGAAGGGGGGGGTTATGTCTGCTAGACAGCTGGCCAAGACCTCCTCCCTCTGTGGCTCGAGGGGAAACTGAGGCAAATATAGATGAAGCTAGCACTCGGAGGTGATCCAAGACCAGATCAGACAGAGATGAGGACGGTCGGAGCCCTGCCTCAGGTGGGCGAAGTAAAGCTGCGGCAGATAGGATGGGGATTAGACCTGAGAGGGGACTACCAGCGGACTATTCGGGACTATTTGGGGGAGGAACTATAAGGCCTCGAATGGGATGGAGATTCAGGGACAGCGTAGGCGGAGCGCTGACAACCTGCTAAGCTCCGCGGGGCTGGCGGGAGGCGGCAGGTGGGGGGAGGGGGAACGGTGTTTGCGGCATCTGGAGTCATCGATCTTCCTTTTCCTTCCTAATTTCGTGGGCGCTGAGTTTGCAGACGGATGAGGGAGGGAGGGAGGCCTGAGACAGGGGGTGGGGGAAGGGACGAGCGCGAGTTTGGAGAGCCGGGCCGCGGCGCCGCCGCTGGCCGCCTGCAAACAAGGCCCGCTTCAGCCAGCTGCCCACCCTCCCCACCTCCGCCTCCAGCTCCTTCCTGCAGCCTCGGCTGCTAATTTTATCCGCCCCCAACCCCGGCCCGGGCGTTAATTGGCTGTGGCTTCATTAGCAGTTCTCAAGCTCAGCCGCCCCCCTCCCCTGGGGACCCCTGACTGGGGAGAGGGAGGGGGTAAGGACAAGCTGAGGCACAGAACGACACCTCGTCTTTCGCCTTCCTTCTCTCTGAGTCCTGAGTCGAGGTACTGACTCCGAGAGGGCAGTGTTCTCCAGGGGATTGCCCACGGGCTCCAGCGGGAAACTGAGTCAGAGATGAATCTGACCCAGACATGCCTGGGAGTGAAAAGTCGGTAAGTGGAAAATAAATATCGGATGAATGGATGGGTGGGTGGGTGGATGGATGGATGGATGATAACAGGATCAACTGAAAGGAGGGAGGCGGGAAGTGGGTCTGGGTCAGAGACTGGAAGAAGGAGAAAAACCCAGCAGACTCCTAACACCTGCCTGTTGCTGGAAAGACCTGAGAACACCTGAGGCTAGAGTGGGCCAGATGGAGGTTAGAGCTAAGGGTGGACTTCGGAGGCCTGGTATGAGAGCCAAGTGGGAATGACTGGAATTAGCAAGCTAGCCTATCTCAGCCTCAGTTTCCTTATTTGAAAAGCAATAATAAAATAGCATGTCCTAGAGATTAAGTGAGATTTTGCATGTGAACATGCTCTGTGATGGATTGTCCTCCCCTTCTTCCTGATTCACAAACCTGCCTCCTCCACAGCCATCTTCTCCTCCTCCTCCTCCTTGCCCTCCTCCCCCTCCTCTTCCGGCATCTGGACATCTGGGAGCACACTGAGGGGCCCGGCCTGTAATTGTACTTGCTGCATTTTGTTACCTGCTCATCTCTTGATATCCCAGCAGTCAGTGAGCTATTCTTGTATCTCCAGGGCTATGGCAGGCCTGGCATGGAGTAGGAGCTCAATATGTCTGTTGAATGAATGAATGAATGAATGTGTAATGTTGCTATGTAAGACAATGGTTCTCAAAGTCCCTGCCTATTAGAATCGCCGAGGAGAGGTTTTGTTTTGTGTCAGCGTGAGTGGGCAAATGGCCCACTTTGAGATGCATTGAATTAGAACCTCTGAGGAGAGGCCCCACACTCATACATGTATATCACATTTCCCAGCCAATTCTTTTTTTTTTTTTGCTTGAGGGAGATTCGCCCTGAGCTAACATCCTTGCCAATCTTCCTCTATTTTGTATGTGGGTCGCCACCAGCATAGTTGCCGATGAGTGGTGTAGGTCCGCGCTGGGAACCAAACCCGGGCCGCTGAATCGGAGTGCGGCAAACTTAACCACTAAGCCACAGGGCAGCATCTCCCAGTCAATTCTGATGCCAGGGTATGAGAACCTACTCCTAGAAGGGTCAATGAGTCCCTCCCCACAAAGGATGAGTCCAGATGAAATCAGGCTAAAAGGAAGATGCCTTCTAGTCCAGAGGATCTGTAGCCCTGGGGATGTACAGCGAGTTCCCTGCCAGCTGGGGCGGCAAGAGGTCAAACAGGTAACGAAATGCAGCAAGTACCACAGACGGGAGGGGGCACCTCAGTCAGCTCCCGAATGTCCCTGGAGGAGGAGGAGCTGGTCCTGGAGGAGGCAGGTTTGTGAGTCAAAGAAGGAGGGAGGACAATTTATCCCAGAGTATGTATGTTTACATACAAAGTCTCCTTTAATCCCCACCGCCTGGTCTTTTACTATTGATTTACAAGTGAGGAAACTGAGGCCCAGATAGGCTGATTTGCTAGTCAGTTCCAGAGCTGGAACTGGAACTCAGGTCTCTCACCCTTCCACACCAGGGTGCTTTGCAGTGCGTTATGGCTCTCTAGCTTGTACGGGAGTCTTTGTAGTTCCCAGAAAGCCTGATAATGCTAGGTATTCAGTAGGCACCCAATAAATGGTTGTTGTTTGGACAACAGACAGAAAAAAAAAAAACTCTGAAGAGTTTCAGGACATGAGGAGCTGGGGCGGCACTGGATCTCTTTTCTCTCAGGCAAGATCCTCTGACATGGGGCTACCAACTGAAAATGAAGTCGAAGAAGGGGGAGAAAACTACAATTCCCAGAAGACCATACAGGAGCTACCTCACGCATGCGTAGGTCCCTCCCCTTAATGTCTGGCGTCTCGGGCGGCTCTTCCCGCGCATGCGCTCCCTGATCAGTCTTCCGACCCCTTGCTTCCCCTGGCGGGAGTTGGTGGATGCGCCTCCTGCGACCTCGGTTAGCGATGCTGCCCTTTTCTTTGCTTTGGGCGAGTCGGGTAAGAATCGGGCGCCGGAGATGGGGTGACCAGTAGAAAGCTCCTCCCCCCACCCCCACTCTCCATTCACAAACTCTGGGGTTCTCTTGGCTTTTCCGCGCACGTGGTCTGGGGCCTCGGATAGCGGATGCGCAACTAGGGAATCCCTGAGACCCCAGGGTGCGTGCGGAGTAACTGGGGCCCCTCCCCATTCCGGCAACCAGACGCCCCGGGGCCTTGTGACTGCCTATTTCACGTGGCATTCGGAGAGAGAAGCACACCAGCTGCCCCGTGGACCCTCTGCTGGCGAGCAAGCGGGGTTCCCGGCCGGGACCGGCGAGCTGAGTATTTCCTGCCAGCTCTGAGCCGTGCAGATGGTGCAACCCGGCCCCACTGCTTGCATCGGGTGCCCCGCGGCTCTGTGGGTTGGCAGGAGGTGGAAAGAGTCGGGGGCGCAGAGGACAGGATGTGGGTTTTAGCTTCCCTGCCAGCAGACCACCCCCCACACACCTCTTCCCCAGGGACTGCTAAAGCTCTACCCTCCCGTCTCCATTGCTCTGGAAACCACCTCCACAGCCTGTTGCCTCAACCCTGCCAACTCGCCTCTTCCTCCCTGACTGGGGTATCAGTTTATGGAACCCTGCTGGAAGACCCTTTTGTTGCTTTGGGTGAGGAGGTTCTGGAACCTCAGTGGACCACCCCTGAGTTCCAGAGACACAGGCTTCTGGAAGACAAACTTTGCCCTGTGGCTTTGCAGAGTGGTTCATGGGTTGAGGTGGAGAAAAATTCTGAGGTGAGGTGAATGGACCCAGTGAGAACCACCCCTTGGACATTGATCTCAACCTTGGCTCTAGAACTGGCTTTTGAAGGTGGAGGGGGTGGGTGAGAACTGGGACAGGCTGGCTGGACAACAGGCTGCTGCGTTTGGAGCCAGAGGGCCGTGTAAGCATGGCTGAGTTGTTGGGAGACTGTTTCGTTTGACCTGGCTTTTCCTCCCCTAGCCTCTGCAGAGATGTGGTCAGCTGGCCAGGACGGCCATTCGGTGCCAGCACAGTGAGGCGGCCCAGACCCAGACTGGAGACAGAACCAGAGGCTGGACAGGCCAGGAGAACCTGTCAGACAGTGACCCTGAGATGTGGGAGCTGCTGCGGAGGGAGAAGGACAGGCAGTGTCGGGGCCTGGAGCTCATTGCCTCAGAGGTGGGGCCTGGGCAGAGGGCCAGGGCTCGGGCCACCATGGGTGCAGGAAGTAACGGAATCTGATTGCTATTTCTCCAGATCTCCATTTTAGACTCAGGGCCTTCCTGCTGGGTCTTATCTTCCTCTCTTCTTACTGTCCTCTGAAGCAAAGGCAGGGCCAGTCTGGGTTATGGGATGGGAGCATTAGAGAGCTTCCAGAGCCTTCCAGGGCCCTCACAGTCTAGTCTAGTCCCTCCTCCCTCCCAAGAGGAAAGAGGAGGCTGGAAGCACAGGTTTGAGTAGACAGGTGGCCTTGCTGGGGACATCTATGGTGGCATTTGGGTTTCTGAGGATGCTGCCTCAGGCCTGGCAAGGAACCTAAACAAACAGAGCTTCCTGTAGAGCCCGGCTCCTCCCTGCAGCCTGGGACTCGGGGGGTGGGGCTGTGGGGGTCCAGGGGAAGGGGCTCAGTAACTCTGACATTGCCCCCCACCCCCACCCCAGAACTTCTGCAGCCGAGCTGCGCTGGAGGCCCTGGGGTCCTGTCTGAACAACAAGTACTCGGAGGGTTATCCTGGCAAGAGGTGAGGGCTAGGCACCAGAGGGCTGGAGGGCAGCCTCAGGGATGGTGCTTCCAGCAGGGGACACCCACCTGTCCCCTCCCCGTGTGTATAGAGGAGTGGCCCTCCCAGTCCTTTGCTGCTGGTCAAGGGGGATGGTGGAGCCCTTTCTCTGTGCCCTGATACACCCCCTCCTGTGGCAGATACTATGGGGGAGCAGAGGTAGTGGATGAAATCGAGCTGCTATGTCAGCGCCGGGCCTTGGAGGCCTTTGACCTGGATCCTGCACAATGGGGAGTCAATGTCCAGCCCTACTCGGGGTCCCCAGCCAATCTGGCCGCCTACACAGCCCTTCTGCAGCCTCACGACCGAATCATGGGACTGGACCTGCCCGACGGGGGCCAGTGAGTATGGATGGGGTGCTGGTGGGCTTGGTGGGCAGTGTGGGCATGGGAGAGGAGTGACTTGTTGAACACCTACTGTGTGCCATGCAGATGAAACAGGCCTCTCCCTGTCCTGCAAGTTACAGTGGATGAGGAAGATAAGACCCCAGTAACCAGTGCCCACCACAGAGTGGACAGAGCAGTGAGGATGGTCATGCTGGGAGCAGCGTTCCAGGGACAGAGGCCTTCGGAGCAGTGCAGGGCACGGTTCAGTCTGGGAGTTACTCCACTCTAAAGCCTTCTTATGTCCTCTCCTCCCCTCCCAGCCTCACCCATGGCTACATGACTGATGTCAAGCGGATCTCAGCCACATCCATCTTCTTCGAGTCTATGCCCTATAAGCTGGATGTGAGTGCTGTAGGGTGTGGGGTGGGCCCTGGTGGCGCTCTCCTGGGGAAAGTGAGGGGCAGGAGCCCTGGGTAGCCCTCAAGGTCAAGGGGGAGAGTCAGCTGCCCTGCTCCCTTCTCAGGGCTTTAGCTTTTTGTCTGTCTGTCCAGCCCAAAACCGGCCTCATTGACTATGACCAGCTGGCACTGACTGCTCGACTTTTCCGGCCGCGGCTCATTATCGCTGGTACCAGTGCCTACGCCCGCCTCATTGACTACGCCCGAATGAGAGAGGTGGGTGGAGGGCTGGAGCACCACTGGCCGTCTCCAAGGGGTGGCGGGGAGATTCTGGAGGAGGGGCCGCCTCAGGCAGGCCTGTCTGGCCCTCCCCAGGCTAAGGCCTGTCTCTGTTCCTGCCCAGGTATGTGATGAGGTCAAGGCACACCTGCTGGCAGACATGGCCCACATCAGTGGCCTGGTGGCTGCCAAGGTGATCCCCTCTCCTTTCAAGCATGCGGATGTTGTCACCACCACCACTCACAAGACCCTTCGAGGGGCCAGGTCAGGCTCCCCTGAGGTCAGGCCTCACCTTTCCCTGCCTTTACCTCCTAGTCTGGGGCACTGGTGGGCTGGATCTGAGAGGAATACATTCCCATCTGGAGCCCTGAAGATTTCTATCTAGTCCATGATGATTCTCCTTCTTTTGCCCATGGCAGCAGTTCCCTGCCAAGGGGTCTGGGGGTGGGAGTGAGGGGCTGCTCCCCTCGACCACTGGAGTCCAGCGCACTGGGTGCAACTGAGGTGGACTCAGAGCCCTCCGGGGGCTCAGGCCAGCCAGCTGCCTTTGCTCTCCCTGTCCCTCGCCCTTTCTTTTTTTTTTTTTGTGAGGAAGATCAGCCCTGAGCTAACATCTGATGCCAATCCTCCTCTTTTTTGCTGAGGAAGATTGGCCCTGGGCTAACATCCCTGCCCATCTTCCTCTACTTTATATGGGACGCCACCACCGCATGGCTTGACAAGCAGTGTGTCCGTGCGCACCCGGGATCCGGACCTGCGAACCCCCAGCCGCCGCAGCGGAGCGCGCGCACTTAACCGCTATGTCACCAGGCTGGCCCCCTCGCCCTTTCTTTTGCACTTTCTTTTCAGCTTAAATTCTGACCTCTCATCTCTCCCACAGGTCAGGACTCATCTTCTACCGGAAGGGGGTGCGGACTGTAGACCCCAAGACTGGCCGGGAGATCCCTTACACATTTGAGGACCGAATCAACTTTGCTGTGTTCCCATCCCTTCAGGGGGGCCCCCACAACCATGCCATTGCTGCAGTGGCTGTGGCCCTAAAGCAGGTTGGGGAGCCTACTCTTGTGGGGTGGGAGCCTGATGGAAGGGCAGTGCAGCACGGGAGGGGTCCAGGCTGGAGTCCCAACTATACAGGGGATGGAGGGGCAGAAGGGGTAGGATTTGGGGTCACAGGTGGTGCTGTCTTCTCTCCAGGCCTGCACCCCCATGTTCCGGGAGTACTCCCTGCAGGTTCTGAAGAACGCTCGGGCCATGGCTGATGCCCTGCTTGAGCGCGGCTACTCGCTGGTGTCTGGTGAGCTGGGGCGTGGGTGAGAACCTCTGTAGCCTCACGCAGAGGCCCAGGACTCACCACTCCCCGCTTACTGTCCCCCCTCAGGTGGCACTGACAACCACCTGGTGCTGGTGGACCTGCGGCCCAAGGGCCTGGATGGCGCTCGAGCGGAGCGGGTCCTGGAACTTGTGTCCATCACGGCCAACAAGAACACGTGTCCTGGAGACCGAAGTGCCCTCACGCCTGGGGGCCTGCGGCTTGGTGAGACCTGGGGTTCAAGGAGGGAAGGGTGGCTGCCAGGGGAGCTTGGGCTGTGCCAATCCCCTTCTGCCTCTCTCCCAGGGGCCCCAGCCTTGACCTCTCGACAGTTCCGTGAGGATGACTTCCGGAGAGTTGTGGACTTTATAGATGAAGGCGTCAGCATCGGCTTGGAGGTGAAGAGCAAGACGGGTGAGTGGGCAAGATGCCCCCTGAGCCAGTTTACAGTCACCATCTGCCCCCCTCCCCAAGCTGATCTAACCACCTTCCCAAAAGCTCTGACCGCTCTCTCCTCACCCCTTTCCAGCCAAACTCCAGGATTTCAAATCCTTCCTGCTCAAGGACCCAGAAACAAGTCATCGGCTGGCGGACCTCAGGCAGCGAGTGGAGCAGTTTGCCAGGGCCTTCCCCATGCCTGGTTTTGATGAGCACTGAAAGAAATGAGGCCCACAGACTGACATGTGTTCCCCTTCCCCTGCCTGGACCAGTGGAGGGCAATGCCTGTTTCCAGTTTTTTGCTGGGGGAGGGAAGGTCTCCCGCTTGGGGCGGGAGCCAGATAGAATTCCCCTTCCCGAAATTTGTAGCTGAAAAGATTTCTTTTTGTAACAAGACTTAGAAGGAGGAGGCCTGGGGCTTTCTGCCCTACCCTCTCCCGTTATCTCAGTGTTCTAGACTCCCCAGTCTTCTTAGAAAGGGGGATTACCCTTGTGAGCCAGAGGAAGGGCTGGGTAGGCACCCTCATTTCTGTTTTTAGCTAATAAAATGCTACCCTGCTCTGAGCTTCTGTTACTGGGGGAAGGGTTCCCTTGGCCAGGTGGGGATCTGTCTCCCTCAGCGTGTGCCTACCTTCCCTCCCACCGCCACCACACGGCCCCCGGGGGCTGCAGCCTCCTCTCTCTGTCTCTGATCAGAGCCGACACCAGACGTGATTAGCAGGCGCAGCAAATTCAATTTGTTAAATGAAATTGTATTTTGCCCACGGCTGCTTCTGTTTGATCCCCCGGGACGACGGGAGCAAGGGAGGGGCGGGGATGGCGGGGGAGGCCCAGGTGTGAGGCGAGGGGGTGCCGGTTGGCGCCCGAGGCAGAGCACTTGGGCAGGGGCAGGAGCGCGCTGCACCTCCCTGGGCCCCCGGCCGCATCCACGGCAGGCTGGGCAGCCCGGAACGAACCCAGTGAGCCGGAGCAGCGCCGCCCCTGGGCTGGTGCCCGGAGCCCGGGCTAACGCGGAGCCAGCCACGTCACTTGGTACTCAGAGGCCCGTGCTTGCTCTTGGCTCACGTCGGCCACGCTCAACACGTAGCCTGCACCACGCCCTGCCTGGCCCAAGTCGCGGGCGGAGGGGCTGCCTGGGGCCTTTTGGGTCGACCCGGCTGCTGCCGGTCTCCCGAATCCCCCTCCCCCGCGTGGGACTCAAGCTGAGGGTCAGAGGCGCTTCCGCCGCTGGGACCAAGGGAAGAGGGTGGGGGTGGAGCTGTTCCCCTCCCCGTGGGAACGGGGCCTGTGTAAGCAGAAGCTGGACAGGGTGGCTGCAGTGGTGCCCTGGAGTCGGGGCGGAGAGTGGAAGGAATGGGTAGACTGGCGGTGGTGGTTTACATCCAACGCGCACCCCAGCCAGGCTTAGAAGTCTGGCCGGTCTTTCTTCAGCTTCTTATAGTCAGTGGAAACTGCAAGGAACTATGGGAGGGAAAGGGGGATTGCAGTGAGTGCCCCTGGCCTCCCTTTGGGGGGGGGGTCGCGGGCGGTGCTGAGGGCTGGGTCCTGGGAGCAAGAGATGAGGGGGTAGAGGTGCAACCTTAGAGCCTGGGGGGTACCTTGTATTGATCATTCGGGCTCAGGCGGTTCCAGGGCTCTGGGTTGTTCTTTCGGTCCCAGCTGCGGAGAGGGGGGTGGGGGGGAGGGTTAGGGTCTCCTCTCTGGGAGCTAGGACTTGAGCCTAAGGTGACACCCAAGGTCTCTGCTCCCACCCCAGCACCCCTCCTCCTACCCGGGGGGCCCATTGCCCAGAGACTGACAGGAGAGGAGGCACGTTAGCAGATGCTGACAAGTGAGACAAGAAGGCTATCACCGTTGTCAGCATGGGGCCAGGTGACAGACTGACAATCCGGCCCAGGGACTCTCGCCTGCACCTTGCCACCGCGGGTTAACCCCGCAGAGCAGAGCCATGGGAAGCAGGCAGCGATCCAGAGGGGCTGGGGCTTCAGTGATGTGCCTGGAATTCCCATAATGCCCTGGGGGCTCCTGTGACGTGCTGGAGGACCCCGCATCGCCGCCGCCTCTGGCGGGGCATGGAGTCTTCGCGCCACCCCGGCCCCAACGGCGCCGCCAGCAGCTCACCCGGCCGCACCCCCAGCGCTCAGGCGCCGAGATGGAGGTACCCGAAGGCCGCTGGCGGCCGGCAGAGCGGCGTCGCCATGGCAACAGGGCCGGGAGCGGTGCGGGTTCCGCAGCCCCAAGCGGGCCAAGGCTCGGGCCACGGAGGGAGTCAGCGGTGGGGTGGGCCGGAGTGGGGGCGGGGGCCTCCCAGGTCAGGCAGGAGCGGCTCCAGCCCCGAGACGCCGAGATGCCAGGCAGTCCAGTCGCAGGTGTGCTGCCTGGGGGTGCCCGCTAGGACCACCCATTCCAGCCCTTCCTGAGAGGCCCTTGCATTCTACCCCATCTTGCTCCACCCGGGACCTCCCAGGACCCGGTCCCAGGCGCGGCCTTTACCAGACGTCCGGGCTGCGCAGGGCGAGCCTCAGCAGGTAGAGCGCAGCGCTGCCCATGCCCAGGCCGATGAAGCCGATCATCGGGATGAGCTGCGGGAAGGCGGAGGGCACTCAGGGTCAGCTCCTCACCGCAGTCCCAATGGTCCTTACAAGCTTTTCTCCCGCGCCCCTGCCCATGCTGGGTCTGGCGCTCGGTCCCTTCTGGGAGAGGGGACCTGGAACCTCCCACACACATTTCTTTGCCGTCTCCCTCACCCCACAGCGAACCTGTCCCAGGTGGATTCAAGGGACACGGGGCATGTTGCTGGGATGGATTGAGGGCACCCTGGAGAAAGATTAGGAGCATTGAGGGAACTAGGCAAGAGTCAGGGCACTGGGAGATTTGGGGGCTGCGGGGCAGCGAGAGAATTAGGAGTTAGTTAGAATGAGTGGCTCTGGGCACCGAACTCACCCCGGGATGTCTCTTGATCTGCCGGTAGAAGCGGGCTCCGAGACTGGTTCCAGCCATAGCGCCTCTCCAGTGTCTAGTCCTCTCCAGAGGCTCTGCTCCCTTGCTCCTCCTGGGGTCCCGCCCCCGGCTGGGGAGGGGTCAGGCCAGCCTGGCCCAGCCCGTCCCTCTTCACCAGACTCACCGCACCCCCCGCCCATCTCGCTTCCTCCTGCAGTTCCAGGCTGGCAGTGGGGAGGAGAATTGGGGAGCAGAGGGGTTTCCGTTCCTCTACTCTCTCCTCCAGGTGCCGGAACCCTGGCCCACGGGGAACACCATCACACCTGGGGCTTTGGGCTGGTCTGAGGGAGAGGCCTCACAGGCTTTGACTTGGGTTATGTCTCCCTCCACAGTGTAGTGGGAGGAGGAGGGGGACAGACAGACCGACAGCACTAAAGCTTCCCAGCCCCTCCCGTCGGGCGTGGTTTCTCCAAGTTGTGTTGCAGTTGGCCTGGAACAGTCTTTGGAGACCAGGGGAGCCCGATGTATTTTAAACCTGGCCCAGGACAGAATAAGTCAGTTGGTGAAGTTTGGGGGGCTTGAGAGACTTGCTTGCCCTGCCTACTCGGTAAGGGTGAGGGTGGAGCCACCACCCCCCCCAAGGAGGCCACTCTCTGCCTCTGGCTGTGATGGAGAGGAAGAGAATGGAGTGAGGGAAACAGTTAAGGAAAGAGAGAAAAGATGTTGAGGGAGGAAAGGGATCAAAACACACAGAGACAGAAGTGCAGGGCGCTTGCTTCCCTTTCCCCAGCCAAGTCAGCTATTTGCTGTGCTGTCAGGGTGGGAAGGCTCACGGCCACCGACTTTGGGGAATCGGGGTCCAAGGGACGCAGGACCCCAGCCCTAACCACCTCTCCCCACTCCCGTGCTAACCTCCATCCCCCTCCCTCCTTGTCGCCCTGGCAGCCGGATCCTGCAGAGCTCGCCCACTTCTCCCCTCCAGAGCCCCGTGGGAGCACGGACAGGGGCGAGCTGTGCACCCACCGCTGGGCCCCAGGGCGGGACAGAGAGGGAGGGAGGCCCCCAGGAACGGCCCCCTCCCTTTCCCCCCGCGCTGATACCTCTCGTGCCCCCTGTGCTGACAAGCGTGGCTGTAATTAGGCTGCGGGGTCCCCGGCTCTCCGCCTCCCTCCGGTGGATAATGAGATAAAGTGTCAGAGACACGGCGAGAACAAAGAGACAGAGACTCGCTGCGATGTGTGTGCGGGGCGGGGGAGGGGGCTGACGGGATGTCAGAGCCCGGAGCAGCGCAGAGCCCGGCCCTCCCCGAGCACCGCACCTCCCAGGCCGGGCCAGGGAGTGGGGTGTCCTGTCACCCGTGCCCCCCTCCTCTCCAGTCTTTGGGTCTGAAAATCTATCCTGGAGTTCGAGCTCGAGGGACCGCACAGCTGGGCTGCACAGCTGGCTGCGTGCAGCACAGCTGGGGCGCCAGGACGCGGGCAGGGACGTCTGGCCCCTGCGCCGCGCCCCTTTGCCTCTCAGGCCCTCGCCCGCCTCCCTGCGTCGTTTCTCGTGAGTCCCGGTGACCCGGGTCTAGGCCGTCCCGGACCTCCGCCCCGCTCCTTTCCTGGAGCCGCTGCTGATCTCCTGCCTTGGGCCTCCGCCCCGCTCCCCCTGCCCCTGAATTCTTTATCGCTTCTGCTCCGGCCTCTCCGGGGCTCCTTGACCCTCACCTGCTCTGGTGCCGGTCTCTGACCCTAGGTCTAAGCCCCCTCCCATGTCTGGATCGTGGTCTCTGGGGCCGGGCTGAGACACAGCACTCCTTGGGTTCCAGATCCTGGCCCTCCCCACCGCCCCGCACTTTCCCACCAGAAGGACTCAGGCCACACGCTGACCGAGCCGGGTGAGGGACGGCAGAAGTCATTAGCCGCGGATTAGGCGTGGCCGGGGGCGAGCGGGCGTCCCGCCGGGACTGGCCACGGAGCGCTAAATCGCACAGGACGCTAATCCGCGCGCTGGCGGCGCGGCGGGTCAAAAGCAGCTGGACTCGGCGCAGCGAGCTGGCTGCCGGGGCCGTGGGCGCGGGCGCCCCCTGGAGGCCGCGCGCTTCCTAAGCTCTCAGGGGCGATGCCTCGGGCGCCCCCTGTCGGGCCGCGCCGGCCCTGCGCCCCGCGGCTGTCTGTCAGGTAAGTGGGTGCCCAGAGTGTCGGGCTGAGCCCGGCCCGCCGCTCCTGCCGCTCCGGCCGCCGAGGCAGTGCGGTCCCGCAGCCTCCACTCTTCTGGCGTGAGGCGGGGCTGGGAGGGGGCGCGGAGATTGGACGCGGAAGCTCCTACTTTGCCAGCCGCGGGCACCTCAGGTTCATGCTGGTTCCGCTCGCGGGGCTAGACGGCCCCAGATGCCTGGGGCTCGGTCTCTGCCCTGAGACTGCCCTCTGCCCTCTGCCCCTGCCTGCCCTAGTCTCTGGCTGCCGTTCTTTCTGCCTCTTTCTTCTTCAGGCTCTGTCTGTCTCTGTCTATCTCTGTTTCTCTGTGCCTCCCTGTACTTATCATTCTGGCTGTGTGTCTGTCTCTCCCTCTGCAGCTCTCTCTACCTGGCTTTGTCCCTCTGCATCAGAGTCTCTGTGTCTCTCTCTTTATCTCTCCTTGTCTCTGCATCTCTCTACTCGCTGTGTCTCTCTTTACAAATGCCTCTCTCTCTGTCACTGTCTATCTCTGTCTCCCCCCTCCCATTCCCCAGTTCTGTTCCTATTCTCTGGCTTGCTGCCCTTGGGGGGCTGCAGCAGTCCAACGGGACAGCCTGGGGACACCTCGGGGCACTGCCTAGGGTTCCCTTCCCGGTCACCTC